GATGTTAAACTTTGACGATTTGGAATATATGAAAAAGTAAGATCCTACAAAAATTTCAAGAATGTCAACAAAAATGAAAGACAAAAGTGTCGGCAAAATAACGTAAAAAAGAATACAGTAGAAAATAGAGAAAAAAAACTTGTGATCAACAAGAAGAGATAATAGAATAGTAAAAGAGAAATAAGAGATAAAAAAGAATCTTAGAATAGGAGAAATTTCTCTATAAAAGCAGAAAAAGAAGAACGAAGGAGAATACGGGCCAATTTCAATGAGAAGTTATTACTTAGAATACTAAAATGCTCTTTGTAATTTTAAATTCAATATTTTGATATCTTTGTATCAACCTCTTTTAAGTACAATACAAGATCTATTTTGTAAGTTTAAACTTATTACTCTTAACTTTATATATATATATATATAAACTACTAGTCATAATATCATTGAAATTTCAAAATATTTTTAATATATTTTTAATTATTAATTAAAATTATTAAAACTCATAAATTTTATCTTTAATTCACTAATATTGTTTATCTCGCTTTACATATTATTTGTAAACAGAAAATATTTAAAACATTTTTTTAATGATAAGACAGAACTGTGAATTTAAAACCAAAGAGAAAGCTGATTGTAAGATATTATTACTTTATTATAGAAAATACTTTACAACTGCATAAGATTTTGAACATTTAATAAAACAGATTAATCATAATATATGAAAATAATTTTAGATTATAGATGCTGCTGTAGTTGGGTAATTTGCCTTTCTATTCCTGCTTTAGTTTTGAGGTATCATATATATATATATATATATATATATATATACATATAGTGTCTTACTAATTGGTATCTCTCTTTCCTTTGGTACTAAGTTTCCACAAATGAATTTCGTTATCTTTGTAAACCCTTACACAGGTCTTAACAAACAAATAAATAAATAAATATGGTATCATGTCAGCAACTGTAATAATAAAAGTTGAAAAAATTGTACCAGACAAAGGAAAAAGTGGAAAAAAGATGCCACCGGGGTGATCTAAACGCTGGTACAGCTAGCACACTCTTACACGTATATCCCATATGCAAATACAAGAGAGTAGTGATATTTCACATTATTTAATTCAAAAGGTTGAAAAAGATTGCATACGTTGATACCGCTATGCGTATAAATTCGGAGGCAAAACCTGGTTGCACTGAGTACAAATACTAGTGACTCGTTCCAATCAAATCTTGTGCATATTATGAAATTGGTAACGGTTGTCAACTTGTACCTAACAAAGAGGGCAATACTACAACAAATGCAAAACGATTTCTTCTCGAAGGAGTTTCGCATTGGGAAGTAAGGTCCATAGATCACGAAAATAGAAGGAAACCGCATAATTTGGAGCTCAATAATCACTATCATTACCAATCTAACTATCTTTGTTCCATCAATCCGCTATTCGCTATTCTCTATTCGCTATTAGCTAACGAACTTGACCTTAAGCTCAAAGTTCCCTTCACTTTCTTTCATTACGTTCAAACCTTTTTAATTAAAATACTAGTTTGTATTTTTTAACATATATTAAACTTTATAAATTTTTTATTTTTCTTTTATATTTTTTCTATTTGACGAGTGCTACCTTGCCTTTTTTATTTTCTTAAATCTTTAACTTTAGACACACTTTCTCTGTATCATATAATTTTAAATTTTTTTATAATATAAAAATAGTTAAAATTATCGTATAAGTGCATTTATATTATTATACTTGTGATCAGTCTTACTCGACGATTTTCTTGTGGAAGTACGTTATTATATTACTATTTTTTTTGGTAGAAAAATCAATTACTGCAATGTTTTATTAAAAAAGTTAAATTGTTTGACTCTTCTGTAATACCATATATTAAATTTAAATACTTATATCATATTATTTATAATCTTTTTCTAGAACACGATGTTAATAATCTAATTATTAACTCATTTTATATTATTTTTTAATATATAAAATTTTGAAAATTAATTTATTTAATAAAAAATTTTAAACTAACAGTTAAATTAAATAATTTTATATTTTATAAAAATTTATTAAATAATGCAAATGTTGAAATTTAACGCATGATATTAATCTGAACATATATTTCTATGGAAAGTAAATTATAATATTTATAATTTTGGATACACATACAGTATCCTGCATTTCTAGAAGATTATATAATGTTACTCTCTATAAATAAATAAATAATAATTAATATGTAAGATACGCATGTGCATGCTGTCGACATGAATAAATTTTCTATTATATATATGACAACGCTCATCACCATCAACCCAAGTAAAATTTGTTGAATTATAATTTATTAATAAAAGTAAGTATAAATAAACAGCCTCTCGTAAAACATTTACACTCTATTTGGTTTGGAAAAGAAAATAAAAATTACGTAAAAATTAAAAAATAAAATTTTTTATTTAGTATAAATAAATATAAAAGATAGTGAAAAAAATTAACTTTTTAATAAACTTAATTAAAGAATATAAATATAACTTTCTAACTAAGAACATATAATATTATTTGATTAAATAAAATATATATTTGAATTTATTTATCGTAATAATTTTATAAACATCTAATTTTTTTTATCAAATGAAAAAAAAGAAGCAACCCTTAATAATTAGCACAAGTGTTGAGAAAAATATATATAAGTAGGGAATACGAACAATAGGCAACTGATGATGATACCAAAAAATGAAATTTTTTTTTGTTAATTTCACTTTGAGGTCGTTCATTTTAAGCTTCTAAAAATAATGTTTTATGGAAACATAAAATTTTTATTTCACTTTTCTTTTTTTTTTTTAATGTAATAAGCTTTGTTTTTATAAAATTGAACAATTTTAGTTGCTTAAAATTAATCTTAGAAATTAAAATTAAGATTTTTCATTAATTAATAAAAAAATGACAACATAAACAACTGACGATGCATGAAAAAATTATACTCGAGATTACTAAATTTGCCATTATATATTATAACGCTCATCACCATCGAACTAAGTAAAATTTGTTGAATTAATATTTTTCAATAAAATTTTATATAAATGTAGAGGCTCGGGTAAAACATTTACACTCTGTTTGAAAAATAAAATAAAAAAATAAAAGTTATGTTATTTAGTATAAAAAAATATAAAAGAGGGTGAAAAATTAACTTTTTTCTTGAATATTTAATTTTGTACCTAAAAGGAACATGTTCATTATAATATTTTCATTTATGTTAGTTAATTATTTTTAAAATATTTTATTAAAATAAATATTTCAATTTATTTAATAAATTTTTTTAAACATCTTATTTGATCAAATGAAGAAAAGCAACCCTTAATAATTAGCACAAGTAAATCGCGAAAAAGAAATATAAGTAGGAAATAAGAACGGCAGGTAACTGATAATGTACGAGAAAATAAAAAAGAATATATTAATTTCACTTTTTAGTGTTGATTTTAAGCTCTTAAAAGTACCAAAGTTTTATTTAAAAATAAAACATTTATTTCACTTTTGTATTTTTGTTGTAATAAATAAGTTTTATTATAAAATTGAACAATATAATTTTAGATTTTGTTAATCCCAATTCTAATAATAAGCAGTTAATAATAGTAAAAATTTATTAGAAAGAAAATTATTTATTACATTTTTATAACTTCAATACAATAATTGTATATTTTTTTCATAATTTTTTTTTATTTGTAAATGTTTAAACTCAGTCTTAAAGCTGAGATTAACAAAACTCTATAGTTTTATATGCTTAAATTAATCTTAAGAACTAAAGTTAAGAATTTCCATAAATAAAACCGATCAGAACATGCGAAACTGACAATGCATGAAAAAACACAAAGAAATATATATTAATGAAAAATAAATAAAATAGCAACCACCCCTCCCCCCTTTCATTTTATTAACATAGATGCGAGACTAAAATTTTTGTGGCAGCTATACTTTTCTCTTCTTGTTCTCTATGTTTCTTGCATTATTAAGATGATTTTTTTTTTTTTTTTATATTGGAGATGTATACTATGACTGATGCTCGTGGATTCTGATGATTATTTGTTCTTGTTCATGTATTCAGTGTCCCCTTATTTTAGTTACCTGGAGTCCCATATATAATCGATTATGGATTTAGTTTATGGTTGAATGGACCAAACCGGTCCAATTAGATATGGTAAGGTTTTTAAAATACCCATTTCCCTCTCCTCTGCTGCGTGTGTTGTTGAATATCCATGAATTATTTACTAATTAAAATATAATTCCAATTATCTATTTTAAAAAAATAAGAGCGTAGAAAATAATTGACTTGTCGTAAGGAAATTTTTATCATTTCCTTGCAAAAATAAAAGATATCAACTAGATGTGTCCCTATTTTCACCTTATGTTTTTTCTTCCTTTCTCACTGAATGTCTTTGAATTATATTAAAATTAAAGGTCGCATTCTGACTTTCGTAACGAGATAGACTAGTATATTAACCAAGTTATAACACGTCTCCATGCAAGCACAATGCACATAACTACTTAGAAATTGTTTCTGTTATGACTAATCAAACTTTTACCACCCTGCAATAGTAAAATTTCGCAAAACGTGATACAAAATTAAAAATATGGTGGTGTATCATAGAAGTGAATAAACAAGGGTATAATATTTTTCCGGGTCACATAGTCAGAAACACAAGCAAAATCTCATATTCAAAATTCCCGGTTAGGTCAAAATTGCAAGCTATTGACGAATCGTAATTCTTCTTCCTTGTTGAACATTTTTACGTTTATATCTTCATTATGAATTTGCATCCTCCTCCTAATCCGGCGAAAATTCAAATCCTTTTATCAAAACCTATTGCAAATATTTTAATGATACCTAAAACGCACAATTGTGGAAATGTCAAATCTCAGGTGTTCTCTCTATATATATTTACTTCATGATCATTCATTGGAACATCATAAATAAGCACTGATTTATTTCAACTAACTACATCATCACAATCTTACAACATGAAACGTTTTGTGTTTGCTCTAGCATGGACTTTTGCTCTTCTGCTAGCTTCTTCGTTGGCTCATGCTGCTATTGTGGAACACACTTTCAATGTATGATTGAGCTAGTTAATTGGTTCTTCTCCCTTTTATGGGCTTATTATAATTTGCATTATAGTCACTAATTCTTTTGTTTTGTTTTGTTATAGGTGGAGGACATTCCTGTACAACGTTTGTGTCGTCGACAAGTGATCACGGCCGTTAATGGAACATTGCCAGGACCAACAATTAACGTTCGAGAGGGTGATACTCTTGTGGTTCACGTATTCAACAAGTCGCCCTACAATCTTACTATTCATTGGTAAATTTTTTCTCTTCTTTCTCAATAATGAGATAAATTCTATAGAAAGATCTACGGTAAAATTATTATAGAAAACACAACGCTGTTTGACCTTAAGAAATAATTAAATATTATCGACTTCAGTTATCTGCTTTATATGCTTATTATATATAAAGAAAAGATTACCATAAAAAATCAAACTACTTAATTTTAAAATTATGAATATATAGATAATTTTGAAAAGAATAAAAATAATTTTGACATAAAAGAAAGTATTTAAAAATAATTATTAAAGTTTAAATATTTTAAATTATAAAAAAAAAAGTATTAAATCACGATTAAGTCTTGTGTCTTAAAAGAAAAATAGCGAAATATGAAATCATTTAATTTTAAAAAATTGTGATTTTTTATTTTATCAAACAGGAGAGATTTTTGTACATGGAATACTGATCAAATGGGTATATTTTACAATGCTATATATGCAGGCATGGAATTCTTCAATTTTTAACTGCTTGGTCAGACGGTCCTGAATTTGTAACCCAATGCCCAATACCTTCTGGTAGCAGTTATACATATAAATTTAACATAACAGGACAAGAAGGGACACTTTGGTGGCATGCCCACTCATCTTTTCTACGTTCCACTGTCTATGGTGCCCTTATCATTCGACCACGACTCGGACACTCCTACCCTTTCCCTAAAGTTTATCAAGAAGTGCCCATCCTGCTTGGTACTTTTTTCTCCCTTATTCTTCATCTTTTCTAAGTTCTTAAATCAATAAGTGCCCATCCGATTATACATAAACAGTCACGTTAAAATTATGTTAAGAAGGTGTATTTGTAACATTAAATGTTATATTTTTAATAAAAAATTACTTTGTGGTTCCTTAGGGCAATGTTTATAACTTAAAATGAACTATAAATCTAATTAAGCATTGATTCTGAAAACTGTAATTAATTGCAGGAGAGTGGTGGAATGCTAATGTTGTAGAGGTTGAGAACAATGCAACAGAAACTGGAAAGCCGCCAATTCCCTCAGATGCCTACACAATCAATGGCTTACCTGGCGATACATATAACTGCTCTAAAAATCGTAAGCCCATTGTTAAATTACACTTGTAATATTATCTTCAGTTCTCATATGTTCAAAACTTGAATACTTAATTCAGCACAAATTTAAAATCTTCAGAAATGTTCGAGCTCAAAGTGAAGCAAGGAAAAACCTACATGCTACGCATTATCAATGCTGCACTCAATGAGCAACACTTCTTCAAGATCGCCAACCACACATTCACAGTGGTAGCCATCGATGCAGCATACACCAAACACTACAACACCGATGTTGTCGTGCTTGCTCCAGGCCAAACCGTAGATGTCCTTCTCAACACAAACCAAGTCGTGGGTTCTTACTACATGGTCTTCACTCCATACCATTCAGCCCCAGGCGTAACAATCAACAACTTCAACACAACAGGAGTGGTCGTTTACGAGGGTGCCACGTCAGCAAAAAAGCCCATCATGCCAGACCTCCCGGCCCAAACGGACACTCCAACAGCCCACAAGTTTTACACCAACATCACTGGGCTGGCTGGTGGGCCCCACTGGGTACCCGTGCCACGTCACGTGGATGAGCACATGTTCATCACGTTTGGGATTGGCTTCGAAGTTTGCAACAACGTTTCAAGCCCAAACGGTTGTTCTGGGCAACCTCCACTTTCTGCCAACATGAATAATGAGTCATTTGTGCTACCAAGGGGTAAAGGGTCATCAATGTTGGAAGCGTTTTACCGTAATAATGTTAATGGGGTGTACACTAGAGATTTTCCGAATCAGCCTCCTTTTGTTTTTGACTATACCAATCCATCGTTGATGACCGATTTTATGGCCGTTGCGTTTGCACCCAAATCAACCAAGGTTAAGACATTTAAGTTCAATTCAACGGTGGAGATTGTGCTTCAGAACACCGCCATCATTGCTCCGGAGAACCACCCTATTCACATTCATGGCTTCAATTTCCATGTTTTGGCTCAAGGGTTTGGGAACTACAACTCCACCAGAGATGAACCAAAGTTCAATTTTGTTAACCCGCAAATACGTAACACCGTTTCTGTGCCAGTGGGAGGATGGGCCGTCATTAGATTCCAAGCGAATAATCCAGGTAATTATTGGTATATATATAATTTGAAAATACGAATTCTTATTTTATAATGTCTTAAGAATATATACTAAACGAGATTAATATTTTTTATCAAATAATTTTTTTATTTTTTAATTAAAATTTATTTGAACACTGTAGGTGTATGGCTTGTGCACTGCCATTTGGAAACTCATTTGCCATGGGGGCTAGCCATGGCTTTCGAGGTTCAGAATGGGCCTACCCGTTCATCCACTTTGCCTCCGCCACCAGCTGATCTTCCCAAGTGTTAAGTGTGCATCATTAACTTAAAGGAATCATTCCTTACATATTTTTACATTAAGCAAAAATAAATATTTCTTATTAATATTAATCCACTGACCTTAATGTGGATTCCTAATATGATTTGTTTGATTGATAACAAGAAATTGTGTAATAAAGGGCGAAAGGCTAGCCTTTTCTTTCAACGATGTACTTTGTTTATTTGTTATTATAAATAAGATCCTTTAATTTTTTTCCCCTGTATGTTATGTTATCTTCTAATTAAGTACCAAGAAAAATAACTAAATTAAACTTCATAAAATATGAGAAGTAAATAAATTCGAGTTTTGTTACAATTACTCACTACTCGTTCAATCATTCTTGTGGAGTTCTAGAAATGATGTTTTTATATTATCTTGCATATAAATTTTGACAAGGTGTTAAATTTGATTAACTGAGATATTGGATCATCATGCTCGGTTTATGTTCTTCGAAGTGAATTATTATGTAGATGTTAATAAAGCAATTTAATTATTACGATTACGAACGTATGTAAATAGGTGGAAATGCTCTTTATATATGCCCGCACTCGTTATTAAAAAAATGATAATTAATATGTAAAAAAAATACTTAAAATAAAATTGCATTGTAATGTGGAATTATTGCAGATAATATTTGCAAACCTTTATATGTTTTTAAAAGCCAAAGAAAATATATTAATTAACAAAAAGCTTGAATAGAAGAGCAAGATAGAAAGTATAGATATGTTAAAAAAGGTGTTGAAACAAAATTCCCCTAGAATAGAACCCTACATCGAGAACAGGATCAACAACCCCTTGCCTTCCGATCCAAGCGTGGAATAGTAGCCCTTGTAGTGCTTTCAAATAAACGGCTCACTGCTGTATAAAGAGAAGAGTAAGGCACGCGAATACAGTTGCCAAAACTTTATATTTTAAACAATAGTGTACGTATTTATAGATGTTGTATAAATGAACATTTCTATTAAAAAAATATATTACATATGCCATTCTTATCACTTCACTACCTTCCTTTTAATTTTATTTTTTTAATTACGATGCATATATAAGTGTGAATTATTAAATACAAATAAATGATTTTAAGTTAAATTTAATTTCTTTTTTATTTAACATTTGTGTGTTATTTTAATTTGAAAATATCCGTGTAATTAATGCATAAGATATTCACAAACAATATATTTTTCACATTTATGTCAATGTCAAAACTAATAAATAGAGTGTTAATTGTTGTTATTCTCTAAGCATAGTACCACTACCAACTATTGTATTAATGACTTTAAATATCCATTACATACACTGTTTATTAGTATTTAGTGAAAGTTTGAAAACTTATCTCAAGCGTACACCACAACCATAAACACTATTAATGTCGTTCTTAACTGTACTCATTACTTTGAACTACATCAATAAAAAAAAATACACAAATATCGCTTATTATTTTAGCAGAGACATATAAAAATAATTATTTAAATGGCTAAAAAATGTCTCATTTTAAACACGATCGAAATAGCTATGATGAAGTGTTTGTCAATAAAATTATACAAAACAAGAGGTTCTAAAATTATTTTAAACATCACAGTCAATATTTATACACGTAGAACACAAAAGCAACTAGTTAAGTGAAACTAATATAATTTCCTTGTATAAAAGATATGTGCATGAACCTTCCCCGGTTTCAACTTTTGCGCCCATAATTTTCCTTCAACTGTGAATTTGCATGAATTGTAGAAAAAGCGCACCCCCACTCTGACTTTCATTACCAGATAGACAACTTGATTATTAACTAATTAGCTCAACGTCTGCGTATACAACGTGCTTAATTTATTACAAATTGTTTCCGTTAAGACTAGTAAAACTTTAACTACTACAGCGATGGTAAAAGTTCCCAAAATTTGAAATCATGAAAACTAAATATTATAAACAAAATAAATAATTAAATTGAGGTGTTTAGTCAGAAGTCAGAGGCTCATCCCAATCAAAATTTCCACTTAGATGATCAAAACAAGTTATTGACTAATTGTTGTTATTTCCCATTTTCGATCCTTCCGAAGAAAACCTAAACATACATTAATTGATACACATATATATATACTTAAGTAGAATGATAATTTATGACTATAATTTCCTTCTAATGTGGCAAAAATTCAAATGCTTTTGTCAAACTCTGGTTGCAATATCATAATTATGTATACTAAAAACACGTTATCGTGCTAACGTGAAGTCTCATGGGGTCTCTATATATAGGACTCGTAATTTTCGCTTGAAGGGAACAGACTCAGACGTTGCTCAAATATTTCATTCACGTCCTTTAACATGAAACGTTTTATGTTGTCTTTGGCGTGGGGTTTCTCTCTTTTGCTAGCTTGTTCCTTGGCTTCTGGGGCTATTGTGGAACATACTTTCAATGTATGGCCTCCCTCGTTCTTCTCCTTTTTCTTTCTTTAAAAGAGATGAAAGTGTATATGCATGCATCTATCTATTCATAAATTTATATACATTCATACATATATATTATCAAGAATGTTTGTAACACACTTTTAACATATCTCTTGGCATTGATATTTTTGTGTATTGAGGAATGTATTCTTAAGTGACTTGGTTATATGTATGTATGTATTAAATAAGTTGAATTCTCATTGTATAACAAGCTATAAACTAGCGTCTATTGCATGAGATTCATTAAAATTTCATTTATCGCAGGTAGGTAACTTAACCATACAACGCTTGTGTAATCAGCACGTGATCACTGCAGTTAATGGAGGATTGCCAGGACCAACGATTAACGTTCAAGAGGGTGACACTCTTGTGGTCCACGTATTAAATAATTCACCCTACAATATGACTATTCATTGGTAAATTTTTCCTCCTCCTCAAGAAAATTATTTCTTGTATGTACACATATATGTGGAATAATTCGATAATAGCAAGTGTTGATTTTGGTAAATTTATACCTTTAATAATATTTTATAAATGTATAATAATTTTTAGAAATTCAAGAGTTAACATTCAAACTTGATTAATTAGATTTCATTTTTTATCATAATTGAAAAAGAAAATTAACGCTACAACACGTATAATTTTTTTTTTTTATAAACTACACTAATAAAGGTTATTTTAACCGTTGACATTTTTTTTCGTTAACAAATAACATTAAAAAAAAAATTGTTGGACAAAAACGTATATTAATAAAGTTATTTTAATATTTAATAATTTTTGTGTGTCAGTAAATGACAATTATTTTAATGATATATGAGTCAGGAATCTTTATAAGACATATATAATTAAGTTTTGATAAAATTACATTTTTAATATTTTTTATAAATAATAAATTTCGTCAATCTAAATATTATTGTTAAAATGTCCATTGGAGTTTTTTTTAAAAGATAACTTAAAATACAAGCCCTACATCAAATATTGATATTCAAAATTAACTATAAAGTTTCAACTCTCAGATACTCATTTTTAAATTTTAGGGGATTTAATATTTAAAAAAGTTTTATATTATAATTTATAAGTCAAGGTTTACTGTACTTTTTAAAATGACAGAAACTATTATATCATCGTATGACTTAATAAAATAGACTTTTTCTTCGAAACTATCGTGATAATTTTGAAGACATTTTAAAAAAAAGCAAAAGGTTTATCTCACGTTTACTATATCCAACTATTTAGACATTAAGTCTACCCTTGTATTAAATAATCCAAAAGGTTTTTCTAAATCTAATTTGTTCCAAGGTGAAAGTTTTCTACGTGGAAAAGTGTCTAACATTTCGGTTATTTTTTTGACTACTAATATAAGAAATGATTAAATATTGCAACAACTATACAATTGCTGTCATACATATTATTAATATTGATTATAAATTTAGGAATGGTTCTTGTATGCAGGCATGGAATATTTCAAATTTTAAGTGCATGGGCAGATGGCCCTGAATCTGTGACTCAATGTCCAATACGTCCAGGTGGAAAATATACCTATAAATTTAACATAACTGGACAAGAAGGTACCCTTTGGTGGCATTCTCACTCATCTTTTCTACGTGCTACCGTTTATGGAGCTCTCATCATTCGCCCTCGACAAGGACACTCATACCCATTCCCTTCAGTTTACCAAGAAGTCCCCTTAGTAATTGGTATTATTTGTTCTTTAGTAATTTATCATGAATTCATCTTTACTATCAGAAACTAAAATTGTTAGATGGAGATATATACCACAATAGTTTTACTTTTACTTCATCTTTAACATGATTTTCAAACAAAATGCCTAAGTACAAATTTATCTACCTTGTGCTTGAATTCAATAGCTAGCTTTTATTAGAAACTAGTTTATATTTTTATTATGCTTCCAACAAGTAGTAACTGTTAATTTTGAAAACATTTGATAACAAAATGCAGGGGAATGGTGGAATGCTAATGTTGTTGATGTTGAGAACAATGCAACAGCAACTGGGCTTCCTCCAGCTACGTCAGATGCTTACACAATCAATGGATTGCCTGGCGATTCCTACAATTGCTCTCAAAATCGTATGTCTACTCTTTCTTTATAATTTGCAACAGTTTCATATATTTGAAGATTTTCAACTCTAGTTTTCTTCAAATTTTAATTTTCCTACCCATACAAATTGGTCGTGACCAACATGAGAGAATGCGCATATACTCTACAATATTACAAGTGCATTTCATCCAAAATGACCAGTATCTTTTTCAAAGTATTGATATTTGTCTTGTATTAAATAAGGAGTAAAATTTACAAAAATAAGTGTCATCTGCAAATAAGTAGCACGTCAGAAAGAGTTAATTAAAAAATATTTATATGCAATAACAATAAAAATAATTCATTAAAACTAAACATTCTTTTAGAAGCAGCAAAATAAAAATTAACTTGTTATGAAAGTCAAAAAACCATTAGGATCTAACCTAAGTATACATTTTCTCAACTCAAACCCGTTTTGTTTCACATTTAAACTTGGGCATGCAATATTTCAGAGACATACCAACTGCAAGTGAAGAAAGGAGAAACGTACTTGTTGCGCATTGTCAATGCTGCACTCAATGAACAACACTTTTTCAAGATAGCCAACCACAGCTTCACAGTGGTAGCCGTCGATGCTTCATACACCGAAAGCTATAACACGGACGTTATTGTGTTAGCCCCTGGCCAAACTGTCGATGCATATGTCCACACAAACCAAACAATAGGTTCCTATTACATGGTTTTCACCCCATACCATTCTAACCCAAATGTGGCAATCAACAACTCAACGACAAGAGGAATTGTCGTTTATGAGGGTGCCACGTCATCCTTAACACCCATCATGCCAGACCCACAGGCCCAAGCTGACACCCCAACGGCCCACAAATTTTACACCAACATCAGTGGGTTGGCTGGTGGGCCTCACTGGGTCCCAGTTCCACTTAAAGTGGATCAACACATGTTCATAACTTTTGGGATTAGTTTAGACCATTGCAACGCTCCAGGCCCAAATGGCACTTGTGGTGGATTAAACTTTAGATTTTCAGCAAACATGAATAATGAGTCATTTGTGCTACCTAGTGGTAAAGGGTTATCAATGTTGGAAGCATTTTTCCGCAATTCAAGTAGTGGGATATATACTAAAGATTTTCCTGATCAACCTCCGTTTGTGTTTAACTACACTGATCCAGCGTTACAAACCAATGGCACCGACATTGCCTTCGCACCAAAATCAACTAAGGTGAAGACTTTGAAATTCAATTCAACTATACAAGTTGTGCTTCAAAACACAGCTATTCTTGCTGAGGAGAATCACCCTATTCACATTCATGGCTTCAATTTCCACGTTTTGGCTCAAGGCTTTGGGAATTATAATTCTACAATTGACGAACCCAAGTTTAATTTGAATAATCCTCAAATTCGTAACACCATTGCGGTGCCAGTGGGAGGTTGGGCCGTCATTAGATTCCAAGCAAACAATCCAGGTTCGTGACGTGATTAAATCAAATTTTATAACGTTTGATGATTTGATTTTAATAACAAAAAATTGAAATCACTCTTATTTAAATAATTATAATGGTGACAATAGACATGTGAGAGTGTTATAAAAGCTAATTGGTTTCTTGCACGTTATAAACATTATGTAGGTATATGGCTTGTGCATTGCCATTTCGAGACTCATTTGCCGTGGGGATTAGCCATGGCTTTCGAGGTTGAGAATGGACCTAGTCCTTGGATGCTGCCTCCGCCACCAGCTGATTTGCCCAAGTGCTAAGTGAACAATGCATCAATACACACTCAGGCCTTATAAACTTTTAAAATAAACGATGAAGAATTTATCAACTCTTACTATTGATTATGTGAATTCCTGATTCAATTTGTTTGATTGGGAATAAAGCAAGTGTAATAATGGGCAAAAGGTTGTTATAATTTTTCTGTCACATTGCTTGATGACGCTAGTTCATGTACTCATTTAAAAGTAGGATGATTCTATTTTTATCAATATATATTTTTATAATTTTTTCCTAAATGCATTAGGCAATATAGTCATTGGTAAATAGCATATGTGAATGAATAACGAAGAAGGGTACTACATTGACGCTTACAAACAAATTACTTATCGGAAGAACTTTTAAGACATTTACGCTGTAAATTGAATAAAGTATATCAAATTTCCATCGTTTACGCGTATTCGAATATTGAAAATTATTCTTTCTTAAGATTATCAAGACGCAATATATTAGAAAGGTTCTCACACAGTAAACGCTAACTCTAACCCGAATATTAATTTTACGCTTAATTATACTTTTATATATTTTATTTTATGTATAATTTTGTCTCTTTAATTTTAATTATTCACATTTAATTCTCTTAATTATTTATTGTTCAAATTAAATTATTCACTTTAAATATTTCATTCAATGATTAACAAAACAAATATAATAATAAAATAAATAAAATTATTATGACTTATACATTTTCTTTAGTCTTTTATTTAAACATTTTATATATTTTTCATTCAAATATTCATATAAATAAATAATATATCATATTTTCATTATATATTTTTTAGTGTTTGAATGAAACTTTAGGATAATGAATTTAACCTAAACAATTTAAAAATTAGAATTATATATTTAAAAATTTTGACTTAAATATCCATTTTTGTCTATTTTGTAAGAAATCTCGTTCTACCTACCAAATAGCTAGGTGATATAGTCGTCCTTACCTAGCATACATGTAAATTGAAGTCAACTTTGAAGGGTTGTTGTTTTTGAGGGAGGATATTTCTTCTTGAAACAAAATAAATTGAAGTCAACTTTCATTATACATGTGAGATATAAGCAGATATTTAAATTTTAAAGTTATTACAATTAGTCAATACACGGGTTTTTACATTAATAAAATAAAAAAATTAAATATTACATATATATACTAAATTAAAAAGTTTTACAAAAATATTTTAATTTAAATTATACATCGATTAAAATCAATTTTATTATTACCATAGTTATATATATATATATATATATATATATATATATATATATATATATATTACATAAGTCGATTTAAATCGGTTGTAATGATATATTGTAAAAGTCGATTACAATCGACTTTTGTGCATTCCTTTTAAATAGTTGAATCACGTTTTTTATTTTAGTTTCTAGTCATTGGACAAATTTTTATGGACTTTGAAACTTAAATCCTTCTATTTTTAAAGCAAAAGAATCCATGAAAAGCATGCAATACATTTGAATTACTTCTGTTCTGTTTATCTCATCTACTGCAGGACATGAGAAATACTTTTCTCCAATCATCTAATAACTATACGTGCTTTATCACCGTAATCAGTTTATTTTTCATTTCGGATTGAAATATCAACTTCCGAGTCATGTATGGGCTGATGCATTTCTTGATGAGCTGGCAAGTTGAGGCGTTAAAAGGAATAACAAGCTGGTTTGGAAGTTGTGGAGTCACCCAGACATTACCTCTGCATCTTTAGCCGACATGAAAAATACAAATAAACCAAAAGTCTAATTATCTATTAGGTATGATCAGCTATACGGACCGTACAATGTCATTGGGTTCAGTCAACAAATAAACAGACATTTTTACTTGAAAAATTTCCTCGTAATTTCGGATGCAAAAGCTTCCTATCTCCTAAAGTATTCAATTTATTATAAAATCGTAGGATAATGTAGTACCACAACATGTCACATGAATAAAAAATATAAGCAGTACTGGTCTTGGTCACAGCAGAAACATGACTTGCAGTTCCCTCAAAATTACATGAGTACTTTAATTTAAGTTGAAACTTTCCCGAGCACAGTCCAGAACATCTAGTAAATATCAATTATAGCATGTCAAGAGCATAACCAGATTACAAATTAATTAATTAATTTTGAGTTTAAGGATTTGCCGATGTACTTAATCACCGGTTCATGAACCACTGGATTAATGAAAATCACATTGCAAATATATATTTGGCCTTATTTGCATTTGTGCATCAATTTTGTAGACCAATTAATATTGTTCCCTCTTGTATAGGGAGGAGAGCTTTGATGCAGTTCTGTAAGTGTCAAATTGCCTTTTCGGAAAGGATTATTAACATCTTCTGTAAGTAAATTTATTTTATTCAACTATTTAGAATGAAAGTATTTTTTTAAATAAAAATCGATTATAATCAAATTTTTTTTATAATCGAATTTTACGTTGTATCACTATAATTTATTTAAATCGATTTATATAAATGTATAACTATATAGTAATAAAGTCAATTTTAATTGTCTTTGTATAATTTAAATTAAAATATTTTTGTAAAATTTTTTAATTTGGTGTATACATGTAATATTCAATTTTTTTATTTTAATTGTTTATATATATATATATATATATATTATATATATCTTGTAAGATGAATCAAAATTCTTACAAATTAGTTGATAATATTGGAAGAAAGACTGTTACAGAAGTAAAAAATAATTTCAAAGGAATTTTGGCCCCTTGTTTCGCTGATGTTCCCTTTGATTATGAAATTAGCCTTTTACAGAGAGTACGTTCAAATCCTGTAGCAGAATTTTATTTTATTTTTATCTCTTTAGCTTGCTTGCTTTTACTGTTTATTAGTTATTGTGTGTCTGCCATTGTTGTCGATACTTCTTTTTATTGTTTAGCATACCCATGCTTATACGGTAATTCTGCTGACACTTTTGTCTTATTTCTTCGATTTACTATTTAGTGGACTTATGCATGTATGACTTTTCTTTTTGTCAAATCTATCTGTATTCATACGGGTAAAAATTTTATGGCAATTATTTTTGTTGTTACAGTAAAGATCTTCTATCTCTTCCAGTAGAGTTGGACTGGTGCTATTATGTATCTCATCATCTTCTTTATTTTTTGATGTTGCATCTATGCCTTTAGAGATTATTGTTTGCATTATCTTATTAAATTTTTCTTTAAAACATGCTGCACTAACACGAGCTAAAAGTCTAGATTTTTGGTTGTAGGAACAACTGATTATTTTTTCTCAAGTAATATTGAACTAGTTAATCTTGAATGAATTGGAGATTTTGTAGTTAAAATTCTAAGATTGGATTGTAACTACTAATCTATCTTTTGTTTTTTAAAGAGGTTCAAATTAAATTTGTTTTATCATTTAACTTTTATAACTCTTACTAATGATTGTACTGCTGACTATTCTACTAGTTTAGTAGAATATTCTACCTAATAATCCAGACAATTTTTTGATTTATTATAAAAGATATAAATTGATATTTTTGAGTAAAATTTCTTTTATTAATAAAGTATTATAAAGTTATTTTAACTTCTTCAAGTATATAGAGATTACTAGTTCGAAGTCATTGAACTATTAATATAACTATTTAATAAATTTTAAATTTTTTTTTAAACTGTATAAATCATGAATGAGTGACTGGTCTAAAATATAAGATATTTTTGCATACACTGATATAGTCAAAATAATTATATTGTTTAGGTTGATAATTTATTATAAAATTTTTATAATGGTAAAATGGTTTACCCAAATCTTGTATTGTCAAAATATCATTAATTTTAAAATTAAGAAATATTGTTTCTTGTGTTTTTAAATCTTTATGATTGATTAACTTGATAGATTATTTATCTGCTAAGATAAGTTTATAGAATTTTTTTTGTTGTTGTGAGGGATTGGTACAAAATGATAGTCTGATAGAAAGATTTTCTTTACTATTTCAAATCTAGGCGAAGAAAATTATTCTAGTTTAATGGGTAAGATAGGGATACAGTCATACTTTTCAAAATAAAGTGTCTATGTTGTTTTTATGTTAGTTGATGATAATCTTAGAATAGTAAATTTATTGGAGGAAGTTGTTATTTCATTTGGGATAATGGTTTTTGGACTTTGTAAAGCTTGTAAGTAGTTGGCTTTGATGGTATTGTGGAAGTTGTGGTTCAGAACATTTTTTTCTCTGTAAAAATTCTCTTGAAAGATAGTCAAGTAAATTTTTTTAATAAATTCATTTCTAAAGTTTTTTTCCCCCTCTTTTGTAATTAAATCATTTAATTTTTTAATAAATTTATTTTTTAATGGTCCTTCTTCTATTATTGTTATTAATGCTTGTGATTGATATCTTGGTTAATACATTTAATTGAGGTTGTATGCAATCTTTACAACCACATAATCCTAATACTAGACAATAAATGTTCTCTTTTTCAGATTCTTGAAAACTATGTTTAATTGATAAATTTTATTTTTTATTGTAATTTTCTCATCTGAAATTTCAGATTTTCCTGATTTAGAATTTATTAATATTGTTGATAATACTTGTTTTAATTTCTTACTTTCTAAAGAATTAATTTTTTTATAATTCATACTTACTACACTTCTAACATGTTCCTTTGAATTTGTTATTCTTTTGATAATTTTTAGTTTCTTTTGGTTTATTATTTGTTGGTTATTTTGTTTATAATTTTTCTTGTATCTTCTTTGTTTATAAGATGGATTATTTTGAGGTTTTGCATGTTTGTTATTTTGTTTTTGTATTTTCTACTAGGCGCTTGTATTGTTTTAATTTCATATTGTTCACAAAAAGTTTCTAACTCTCTTCTATAAGTTAATTTTTCTTTTTTCATTTGATTTTGTAATTTTGTATCATTGCAAACTCTTAATTCTGTATCCACTATTATATTATGTATTTGTTCTAATGTTAAAGTTTCATAATTAATTCTTCCATCGTATTTAGATTCCAAATTTTTTAATACTTTTCTTGAAAATAAAGTTGGTAA